CAAAGTAGCATCTATGAAGCTTTCTATAAGATATTATCATATTTATCTACTTTGACTCACTTCTACCTATTCTTATTATCTAGATAATTATCAAGATAAATATGTATGTCTGTGATAGATATTGTTAATAGTTGAAATGACCTAATGATTATTGGCAAATATAACAAGGATAGGAGTAGAGATTGACCAACTTCTATAAAGATTTACAAGTAGTAGGATAAGGTACTTTTGCTTAATAATTTTATTTGCAAAGTAGAGACTAAAAAAAAGATTATTAACATTATGAGATTTAGTTCCATTTTGATGTGTGATATTTGATTCACATGTCTCACACTTATTATTATTTGATTTTAAAAACTTAGTGATTATCTTTGTAAGAAATATCACAATCTACATTTTAAAAAAATCAATAAGTTATGAATATAACTTCCAAAGTATTATTGTATTGTGTGTTGTCTTATCTAAAAGCACATTTGGCATTTGGTTGTTGAAAACAACTTGTGTTTTGTAAAAATCAAAGAATCTAATAATTCTAATATAATCTCATTGGAAGAAAAAGCTTTAATTTGTTGGGGTATTGACTATCTTCTTTCTTCAATCTAAATATAAATTCACAAGAAATTATATCTTTAATTATACTATTTAATTACTTTCAAACTTTATAAATATTACAAATCAATTTAACTATAAATTCACAAAATAAATATCTCAATTAGACTAGGAGATTGTGTAATATCAAAAAAACCTTCATTAATCTTCAAAATCCAAATTCTAAGATCTTAATTCAATTAAATATCAATAATCTTTAATCTAATTTTTTAATTGAACTTAAATTTATACAAGACATTTAAGTCAAATAAATTTAAAATTTTGAAAAACTTTATCCATCAATCTATTACAAAATTCATCAAATTTTTAAACATGTAAACTCTTTTTATTTTTTAATACTCTAAATTACTTAAAATACTTCTAATTTTCAAAAGCCATCAAAAATTCAATATTTTTCCAAATTATCAAAAATCAATGCTCAAACAAATCTTACTAATTTTTTTTTCTAAACTTATTCTTTAATCTACAAAAAAAAAATAAAAAATAAAAAATAAAACTTGAATCAATATAAGTATACAATTTTGTGCCTTAGAATCTAGTTTCAACTCTAATTCACAACTATTCTTTGTTGGATTTTAATTTCAAGCCTTTTAAGATAACTTTTGCTAAAAAGTATTCTCAACTCTCTTCTAAAGATGTCTCAATTTTTTTCTCATCAACTTTATGTTGTCTTATTTTTAGTTCTACAAAATAAATTACATAGTTATATTTTTTATTTTTTTTTATTTTTTTTATTCAATATTTATTTGAGTATTCTTAATTTAATTATGAACAAATTAAAAGCCATCTGTACCACCTTTTGTCTTTAAGTGGTGCATAAGAAATTAACAAGTGATTCACAAAAAAGATTTAGATGTTGATTGTCCGATCATATTTAAAGATGTCTGAAATGGCATAATATAGCACTAAATTATAATTTCTTGACAATGTTTATGTTTTTAATAGTTATTAAAATATTTATAATTAGAAATGTGATATAATGTATGACTATTTTTAATTTAAATTTCTTATTATTTTAGTAATTTTAAGTAAAAATCAATGATATGTGGTTTTTAGGTACAAAGTAAAGTATATATTTTAGCAATAAACTACTTTATTATTATTTTTTTATTACTCAAGAAGGCAAATGCTAAGGATTTGTAAGTTGGTAAAGAATTAAAAATATCAATAAACATGTTGGATTTTGATACAATTAATTTACATGCATTCAAATATCCATGTCTTAACTCTTTTGATCAATTATGTCCATCTAAATTTTGTCTTCACATATAATGAATTATTTGTATAAAATGGTTGGTTTTATTTTAAGCTCAAACAAAACTTGTAGATTGTACTAAAGTCAATTAATTCTTACACTTGTCAAGTTTTTAGCAATAAGGATTTTTTGAGATATTAAATTAAGCATTTGGTTTTTAAATGAAATAATCAAGAAATTACATGACATATGTAATTAAGTATTTTTTTGATAACTATTTTTTATATTAAAATTATCCAATTGTGTACAAAAATATGTCTACTTGATTAAATTTAAAATCTCTCAAGTTAAAGATGTATATATATTTTTTTTATATGATATGTTTATTCTCTAGTTGCAATACATAGTATACAATGTGCAATAGAAAAAACTTCTCATAAATTATCAGATATATGGTAGAAAAAAAAAATTCAAATATTACAACTTTTGGAAGTTTTGAAATACTTCAAACAATGTGGCTTCAAATAAGAGATGCTTGGTAACAAAGGCAATGACAAGTATTAGCAATATGATAATACTAATATTCACATGAAGCAAACAATTTGGTAATTTGGGAGATCAATGGCAACTTTAGCATTTGTAATAGGAACCTCCTAATATAACATTAGAGTCATATATTTTTTAGAAAGTCAAAACCTATTTCCAATACTTATCAAGTCTCCATATTGTCATCTTTTGATTTTAAATACATATTTAAAAAAATATATATGGAACATGAAAAGATTTTCAATTTTTTGTTCTTGAATCAAAAAAATAGCCACCATAACTTAGTGTAGAAGAAATTTAAGATTTTTCTTGCTATTTTTGCTAATCAACTAAACAACAATGTGATGTTTGACCTCCAAAATTAAATATATCTTGATGTTAGAATTCACACTTAGTGGATGATTATAGCTTAGTTGTCTTTAAGATACAAAATTAGTTATTACACACCATGTTGAATTATATCACAAAAAAGAGGTATATATATATATGTTAAATAATAATGTATATATATATAAAATAAAGGCACCTCTTTTTTACTATATAGATACCTCCCTCATATTGTGTAGATACCCTCTTATGTCATGCATCTTAGCATACACACAATAAAACTCTTATTTATACAAAAACATTTAAGGATAAATTTACAATAATTTTTTTAAAATATTAATAAGTTATTTAAATTAAACAAAAAATTATAACAAAAACAAAAACAAAAATTAAGCTATTATATAGTAATCTCTTATTGCAAAATTATGCTAACATTTTAGTATTAATAAGATCTTTATAATGTGTATGTGAAGGTGCATGGCATAAGAAGGTGTCCATGCAATAAAATGAGAGTGTGTACCTAGCAGTTCTCTATTTTTATTAAGAAATAATCATATCAATTTTATACTAGGTTTTTAAAAATTTTAAAATTTTTAAAATTTATTTCTTACATTATGTATATTATAAGATATTTAATTTTGATTTATTTGTATATAGAATAAGTTGGAATATTACTTTGTTTGACTATTATATTTTGTTAGAAAACTTGGTATAATTTTTGATTACATAATTAGTAAAAAGTTATAAAATTAAGATGCATTAAACATATTTATAGAAAATTTATAAAATATTTTATTTTATGTGTAATTAAAATATTTGTTAGCATATATAATATGTGCCAAAAATATCTAAGTTAAACTTAAAATTCTTTTATAAGAGCACAACTATCTTATGGTGATTCATAGAAAAAAGTAATAAAATATTAAAATAAATTGTAGAAATTTTGTAGAAATTTTTGGTATAAATTGCAGATTATTGTTTTACTTATTATTTAATTGCAATAAGTCTCATCTATTGTTTAAGGTTCTCGATACCAATTATTATTTTACAATTTTGTAATATATATATACACAAACCTTATATCTAACAAATGAAGTTAATGCATCTGGTTATTTGCTAAAATTTAGATTACAACAATTTGAAATAATCCATCTCTATTAATGTTATATATATAAAGCCAAATAACATATTTATTAATTTTTAAATCATTCATTATAAAAAATTTATTTTCATGTATTATTTATTATATTTTTTGAAATAAATGAATATCTTAATTTTATCAAAATTTAAAATTAGACTCCTATATTTGTGTAAATTTTTTTAATTGTATAAAGTACACTTAGATTGAAGTGTACTTTATGCAAGCTTAGATTGAAGCTTGCATATATATATATATATATATATATACATTAGATTTAATATTTATTAATTCTATCTTACTGATAATATCCAAAAAAAATGGTTTTTCATATTTCGTAAAACCTTCAAATGAAAGATTGTGCATCATTTAAATTTTAGAGTATATATATACATTTTGTTCATTCGTTATCTTTGATAAAGCCAAAAAGTGCATGGTGCCTAAGACTTTATCAAAAAACAAGACATGTTGGTTGCTTAGTAAATTCGAATACTGTTGTCTTATAGTCACATCCACAATAAAATTTAAAAAATGCAATTTGTTTTGCAACAAGAGTTGTAATTGTTGTAAAAAAAAATTGCATTTTACTGCATAAATCAACTCTTTGGCAACTGAAAATCAACTATCAAATACATTATAACTTGAATTTGAAATTAAAATGACAATGTCAACTTAATTTGTATTTTAAAACATCCGACTTTATATCCAATATACACCAATGTGAATCAAATATTTTAACAATTTTGGAATCCTTGCTTAGGGCAGAGTAGGACCTGGGAACTCTGAAACCTCAATCGTGGAAATGTTGAGCTGATACGAAGTGGGATACCATATCAGTTATAGACTTAACCCACAAAACATTTAGCTCCATCTGGAATTCATGGGGCTGTTGGCGATATAACGCACCGCACATCTGGCGTCATTCTGAACAGATATAGGCATAGACTTACGCAGTCACTCGGGCAAACTAGAAGTTGGTGTCGATTCAGATGTGGACAATTCAGCAAGCAAAGTCCTCAGACTCATAGTAATACACTACCAAGTGTTTTGGACCGAAGTGACTGAGTTGGGCAGTTGAGGATAGATTTAGCCAGAAACGGATACCCTACAGATATCAACGGAAGTCAACCTTGTAGCGCTGATAAACACAACAGCAGGGAAAGTATATTCAGAATACACCACAGATACGCAACTAAAAGGAGAGTTTATAGATCCAGAGGTACAAAGTGATCGAAATTAGTTTCGTAAGGTGTAAACTACCTCACTCATCTCAATAGAATTAAGAGCTTCTCTCAACACCTACCTCGACGACTGTCCGAGTTAAAAAGCGATGCCGTGATGCTCAACCACGTATGCAGGTTCTTTGTAGACGCTACTGATGATAGACAGCATGAACCAGAGCCTCCCAAGACTTTCTCTCTCTAGCAGAAATTTCCGCAAGCAATGGTCATGGCTATACTCATTATTCAGAATTAGTATGAAAAGAAGAGAACATCACAGAAGGCACTGGTGGCAAGTTTCTACTGTCAACAGTCAGTCTGAGAACTTCCCCTACACCGGTATCTACAGAAGGAATTGTGATTTGACGAGAATAGGAATCAGCGAGTTACATTTCGTCAAGCCGCTTATCAAGAGAAGCTCCCAGTGAGTTTGATCCGTGTTTCTGAGAATCGTACATTTGACACAGGGGTGCGTCTAAGCTTAGGATCAATCTTCGGCAATAAATTGAGGGAAAAGTTTCTCTGGCAGCCACAATGTCGTAGAATACACCCAGAAGCTCCCCATCCAGGGTCACGCCTGGCAAGGAATGTTGTAATGGCACCGTTGTGAAAACACTAGAAATCTACTCTACACCTGCGTGTTCTCTGAACATTTTTTTCAACTGCTCCGCACTTTGCTTCATCTCCAAGATGGTAGCATCAGCTCTGGCCTGTACAGTTTTCACGATACGCAGCCTCTCCTGCTCGAACCACTCCTCGACCGTTATGCCTTGCTCTACGTCCTCGTCCTCTTCCACTTCCGTCTCCAGTTCCTCCTCGTCCAGTTCCTCCTCCTCAATCTGTACTCTGATCTTAATGGCTTCCCCCACCCTAATCAGGTCACCGTTCTGAAGCCGCATCGGCTGTTGCTCCACAAGTATATGCCCATTCACGTCCGTCCCGTTGGAACTCCCTATGTCCACGATTACCCAGTGGTCAACCTGCCACTCGATGAATGCATGCTTCTGAGAGACCGTGGGATCCTTGATTGGGTAATTGTTTGTACGCGTCCGCCCAATGGTGATGCGCTTCAGGTGCGTCGCGAGAAAGCTCTTACCTTCGCCTGGGCCACGCTCCATACAAAGCGTGAGCGGGAGCTTCTCCATAATGGCTCCTTGGGACATTCTCCACTAAAGATATGAAATAAGAACCAACTATCTTCCTTTACCTCACGAGATTCTGGAGTTCCACTACGATCAACGCCTGCGAATACAAACCCTCACCGCACTACCTCACAACTTCTAAAAACTCCAACGGTATACGAAAATGGCACCAGCGCGGGTTCCGCAAAACAGAGAAAAACTTCATCTCTGCCTTCGTGTGTCAACGGCCTCCTTGCAAAAACAACGTGAAACAAAAAACACAGCGACTGCAAATGCAAATTACCAAGAAACCCACCATTTCAAAAACCAACAATCGACTGAACGCTTCGAACACATTCAAATAAAATAATCCACGCACAAATACCCCGCCGATCACTTGAATTCGATGTTGCAGTCGCAATCTCTGCAAAAACACCTGCGCCAGGAAAGCCATATTCAAATTCAAATGGGGGGGGGGGCAAAGAATATTCAAACCCAGGGCCATCCGACGACGAAAGCGCGTCTTTGTATATACGATTCGTCCACATTTCCAACGAACGAACTCAACCACCGGCGAAGAACGTTCGATAGCCGAATATAAACGAACGGAACATGAGGTGTTAACGGTTATTATGAAGGGAACGGAAAGCATCACATTAACGATGAGGAGGATTGACTGGTCGAGGCGTAGTTACTCGCCCTCTTAATCCACGGTGAGATTCCTACAACCTTTGCTCAATTTCGAAGGCGTCAGAGTCTTCCGTGCTTGTCTTTGTTGTGGATTAGACGCCGTTGTTGCCATTTATGAAACATGCATCATTGTGAGTGTACACATTAGACTCTCTTCTTCTGGCACAGGTAGTTCGTTAATCTTCGTTTTAATGCATGGGAATAGGCACTGTCTGAAATTTCTAGAATCGGTTACTACGAGATGCAGGTAGACAAGCACTTTTTTCTCGAGATTTACACAACAATTGCACGCGTGGTCGAAGAGCGACTCTAGATTGATGTCAATGAAGCTCGGATTGCATATTTGCTGCCTTCACTTTCGAGTTTGATTGACATGTGCTTTGTTGTAACCACAACCAAATTAGCGATCAATCACACTGCACATTGTATTACACGAAGAATAACGAATGTCTGAAGACAATGACAGATGAGCTGTGTAACCGTTTGAGGAGCTGAAGAATGCAGTAAACATAAGCGCTGTAAGTGGAAGCAAAATCAGGCGGATAGCTGGCATTGCAATATATATATATATATATATATATATGTGTATATTTGATGTGTTCTGTTTTGTATGTGTGAGCCTTGTAGTCCATTATAACACACATTTATGTTAGTCGAGTTCCATTAACTTGGTTGATTAATTATGTGTGGCTGTAAACATGTATTCGATACTCTACTTGATGTTCTACAACTCAGCTTCATAAATACATACAAACAAGAGACAAAAAAATAAGTTCAATGGTCAGGTATGTTCACAATAACATATTGATTATCAAAATGGTTACACTGAGATACTCAGAAATTTTTCTTGTTACAAAATTTTACATAAAGTTACAATTATGGATCATTAAATGCTACAAAAATTATCTTAATTTTGTACAGTTTATTAAAATACTAATATATTTAATACTAATTTCAACAGTTGATTGAAGGCTTCAATATGAGTCATTTTTGTATGGTTTTAGTTTTAAATATAAAATATCTAATTTAATGCTTTAAAAGTAATAAATAAGAAAATGGTCCATTTAAACTTCTTCTATTCAATCAACAGACTGTATCATACAATTTACTTTTGTATAAAATTCTTGTCAATAGAATCATACATTAAAGTTATTAAGAGTTCTAATTTTAAAACATAATAATATTTTATTAATTTTTATTTAGAATTTAAAAGACAATAAATCCAAATAATTTATTATTTTAAAATGATCCAAATATTTAATCATAGCCTTAAAAAATTATATATATATATATATATATATATATATATGTGTGTGTGTGTGTGTGTGTGTGTTATTTTATTTTGAAGAAAAAAAATCAATATCATGTAATTTAGATATACATAAATTTATTTTAAAAATTAGATTATACTGGAGAAAATTGGAACCAAACATTAGTGTAATGAATCTAAATTGGAACCAAACACAAAGTTCTATAAAAAAATATTCAATATCAGCAATCAATTATATCTAGCAGAATTAGATTCTTCTTTGCAATCAACGGATTCTATGTAAGATTGATAGTACACTAGATAAAAATTTACAATTAAAATTAAAAATATTCTTATTCAACAAATATAGACATAATAGAAGACAAATACCAAACAATTAGAATAACCTCTTTATGTAATACATCCAAGATTATTACAACAAATAATTGCACCATCTGAATAAGAAATTATATCATTTTTAATCAAGTAAAGAAAATTACAACAGAAGAAGTCCACTACACACTTTTGGCTTTGAATTTACAAAAACATTAAAGACAAGGTCCTTTAATAGTTTTGAAAGAAAAGAAAATATTAATGATATTGTATTTACATCATTAAATAATAAATTAATAGCATGGAGAATAAAGACTCATACAAACTAATTGATTTGTTTCAAAGTCTATCTCTTTTCTACAACATAGACTAATAAAAAAACACAATATATAAGAGATAGATTAAAAAGTTCAAATTTCAGTTCATGTATTTAATGTTTTTTTTTTTAAAGAAAAACCTTGATAATCAATTAGTAATAGTATAACAAGTATAATTCAAAAAAACTAAAAACATTTCTTTAAACTTAGTAATTTAAGTCAAAATTATTAATAAAGAAGAATGTTGTCTATAATCTTGAAGATGTGAATAGCATGAGCATTTCATAAAATATTTTTGACGTCAACATCCACACTACACATAATCTTATAAGATTAGAAGCAAAAAAATACTCTCTTTTTGATAATATACTTGATGATTAAATTAAAAAGAAAATATTTTTATATAAGTATTTTTTTAAATAATCTTAAAAATAAAAATAAAAATAAATATTGCAAAAATATATGACATCAAACAAAGAAAATGAGTCACCACCTCCTTCTTTTTCTCTCTTCCTTTTCTAAAACAACCTTATAAATGTGAATTTTCATTACAAAAGAATTGCACATTGTATTACTTTATCAACTATGACATTAGCAAAGATGGATAGAAAGCCTTTATTGGTGAAAATCTTCATAACGTTAAGCTAAAAAACACCTGTTTATCCTTCTAAATAATATGTTCAAAATGGTAACAGTTAAAGAAAATAATAATAATAATAATAATAATAATAATCAAAGAAAAAAATAGAAGAACTTTTTCATAAGATATATAAATATATTAATCTTTACTACAAAAAAATTGGAAGAATTTACTTTTATTTAAATCAATCTTTTACTTACTTCTTTTTGTTTAATATTATAAAATAAAAATCACTATTCTATTAAAGAAAATTTAATAAACTTTGTAAAAGAATTCAAATTTAGAATTATATTAGGACTTTACAACCACCATATGACATCTTATTATTTTTAAAATCAAATTAAATCAATTCAATAGTATTTAGTAATATTTATAAGGATAAAAAAATTACCACAGACTTAAAGATCATTGAAGATAAAATCATGTTAAGAAAAAAACTATAGAATAGAATAATATATAAAATTTTTATTTTTTATTATCAAATAATTATTTTTTTAGATGGATTTTTAATAAAAAAAATATGATTATTTAGATTATTACAAGAAATATATTAATATTATAGGAATCACAAACATAAATTTAATTAATAATTGGTAGGAAAAAAAAGACTATAGATCAATTTATAATTTGTGCTTTAAAATTATATTAAATAGGTATTTAAAGATGATAAAATAAAATAGAATGTATACAAGAAAAATTATCTTATTGTCACAATAATCTATTTTTTTTGGAAGAACTAATTCAAAAAAGATTAAAGATATATCTTGATTTTTTTAAAAAAATAAACATCTTGATTTTATTTATTGAAATATAAAAATATTTTTAAAACTATAAATATCATCGATACCTTCAATTAATACCAAGTCTTAACATTAATTAGAAAAATTGAATTACTTTGTAGTTATATCAAAATTTACATTCTTAATTCTTATATATATATATATATATATATATATATATATATATATAATTTGAGCCAAAAATATCAAATCAAGTTTTTTCTTTAATATCTTTTTTCGCCTATTACTTTGAATTATTAATAATAGATTTTTTTTAATAAATTAAAAATAAAATTAAGATATGGGTGCTCTATCTACTTAGTAAGTCTTTAAATCTAGAAGCCTAATACAAAAGACAATAGTTTGAAAGCCTTATTAGAGTCTTTTACTAAATGAAGAAAAGCCCTCTTTTAAAAAGTTTGGCTTTTGAATATAATAAAAGATATGAAAAAGCTATGAAATAGAAAAAAAATCTCTTAATATAATTCTAATTTTTTTGTTTCATATCTTGATTCAAATAATTATAAAAATATTAGATAATTCTTTTTTAATTCTTTTAATAATATTTTTTTAAAAAAAACGTCTACAACTTCTTAACTTATTTTAAAAACAACATCTTAAAAATAAGCCCTATAGAAGTTTTGATAAACAATATTATTTATGCCATATAGAAAAAAAAATCTATCTCTTTAATATCTTAAAACTTTTAGGTTAATTTTTCTAAATACAAAGCTAATTTAGTGAGGCTTTTAATTCAACCAATTAAAAGATTAATATTTTTTGGCTTCTTACCTTGTGTACTAAGTGTAAAAACTATATTAATTTAATTTAATAAAATTTAATGATAAATATATTATTTTAACTTCTATTATATATTTAAATATTATGTATATATGTATATAAAATTTAAGTCATAAAATCCATTAATCAACTAACTTAGAATTTTGTATAGGTAAAAAAAAAGAGATTATTATCAAAACATAAGTTTTCTGATAAATTACAAATCAATGTATTAAAATAAATTATAATAAAATTTATACATAAAATTTTGAAACATATTTTGATATCTTAGATGTTGATTAATTTACAAAGCTTTTATATAACATTATCATTTCTATTTGATATTAATTAATTTTAAAAAAATCTTCTTATATATTTTTTACAAAGATTAGTAGATGAATTCTATGTAGATATAAAATGATGAAATTATTTTTAAGATACTTATTAAGATAAAAGGTTTAAATAAGAATAAGCAAACTATTAAAAAAGATATTAGACATAATTTTTTGAATATTTTTTACTTGTTATTCAATATTTTGCTATAAAAAATAATATTAAATTTTATGAATTTAATTATTTAAAGATATATTTTTATTTATTTCTATTAATTTAGAATAAAAAAAATAAAAAATTATTAGAATAAAAAAACTAAAACTTTGATCAAGCTAAAATAATCATTCATACATTCAA